GGGAGATGAAAAGAGAGAGAGAGGGTTGAGGGTGAGAAACAAGTAATAATAAACGAGAAAATACAAAGTTGGGCCCCTAACTGGATCCCATGGATCGTCTGTAAAAAAGATGTGCAGCCGATGATGATTTTCGGAAGGCCACAGGATCGGTGGGTCAGGAGAGTGTAGGTCTTCTGTTTTTGCCTATTAAAGATTATGGGGGCGTCATGCTCGTTTTTTTCTTCGAATCCAAATGTATAGGCCCAGAAATAAGTAAGAGCGGTACGAATAAAGTGTTGCGCCCCCCCCCCCTCCTTGTTTTCAAACTGCTTAAATGCGTCAGATGTGTCGATATGCTTGTTACAATGGAGATGCAGGTAGAAGTTGCAGGGGCACGAAACAGCCGGCTGTGATTGTCGTGTTTTGCAAAGACATTGATGCGGTGGGGCAGGGGGAAGGGGCTATTCTTCCTTTTAACTAGAAGAAAATGGTGGGTTTCATAAGTGTTTCCTTGGGGTGTTATGAGAAAGATGTTTGTCACGAAAGTCTGTGAGCTGCACGCGATACACCAACTTAGCTGTTGTGAAATTGTACATGTATAGTATTATGTTATGTGATCACGTACAAGCAAGGACACACGCACGCGTGCTCGCGCGCGAACACACACACACACACACACACACACACACACACACACACACACACACACACACACACACATAGAAACCCAGAAACTTACAAAACAGGCATAACCACCTCCCCCCTCTCTCTTTCGCTCTCTCTCTCTCTCTCTCTCTCTCTCTCTCTCTCTCTCTCTCTCTCTCTCTCTCTCTCCCTCTCTTTTACATAAAAACACACAAATAAACACACACACCAAACAAACAAACAAGTACACACTTGTAATTACGTAGATAAGAGTCCACAATTACCTAAAAGCTAATATAAAGAAAAATATGAAATCGCTTTAAACAACTGACGAAATTTAAAGAAATGGAAATATTGTCTGACCTACCTTTTCTCCTGTTCCGATCGAAGCTCAAAAAAACGTGAAATCACTTTGTGCTGTAGAAACAAAAATCAAGCAAAGGTATTATGTATGTATGCATGCATGTGTATATATAGATCAAGTACACACACACACACACATATACACACACACACACCACACACACACACACATACACATACACATACACACGCATACACACACAACACATACATTCAGACACATTCGCCTTCGCAGATACACATAAATACATGATCATAAACCTGCGCAAATAGCATACACTCATTGAACAACATACACATACACAGACACACATACACACACACCTCTCTATACATTCACACATGTACAACTTAACACACAAACAAGCATGATAAATGCATACACACACACACACACACACACACACACACACACACATGCACACACACAAATACATAATACAT